TCATAAATGAAATTGAAGAAAACCAAAATATTTCCAAGTATGACTCAGTTTATAGCGAGCTGCTAGCCAGATTGAGAGTCGAAGATCTAAATGAATTTTTAATGAGCGAGACTCAGAATTTGGTAGATTCAAACCTATCTGATATTACCCTAACACCACATGACTTCGAGAAGGAGATTAATGACATGCCCATGCACTCTGCCCCAGGCCCAGACTCATGGAGCTCCGTGTTCATCAAGAACTGCAAGAAGCCCCTGTCATGGAGAGGGAGCATGGACACAGGGGTCGTCCCACAGCTGCTAAAAACACCAGACATAGTCCCACTCACAAAGGTGGAAGTAAAGCAATAGCAAAGAACTACAGACCAATAGCCATAACATCCCATATCATAAATATCTCTGAATGGGTTCTAGAAAGTAAGATCGCCACTCATCTAGATACCCATCAGTTACACAACCCAGGGTTACAAGGTTTAGAGCAGGTTGCTCCTGTCTGTCCCAACTACTGCACACTATGACAAGGTCCTGGATGCTCTAGAAGACAAACAAAACACAGATGCGGTATACACAGCCTTTGACAAGTGTGACCATAGTGTAACAGCACGAAAAATGTGTGATAAAGGAATAACAGGAAAGTTGGTAGATAGATCTATAATTTCCTAACAAACAGAGTAAAGTTTGAGGCGGCTACTGTGAAAACCTCTGTTCCACAAGACACAGTACTACTACTAATAATATTTTTAATTCTACAAGTACATGTACAAGGTATACAGTCCTAGCTGACATCAGTGACATACTGCTACATAGAAAGCCGCTTGTTATGCAAAGCATTTCGGACAAATTAGGTCAGTTTTGTCTCAGAATGCAACCCACATCAGTCGACTAACACCCATTTTACTGAAAGGGAACTTAGACAACCAGTGTAAAGAAACACGGCCAATGTTTCTGCCCTCGCCGTGAATCGAACCCGGACACTCGCCGTGTGAAGCAAGAGCTTTAGCCACCAGGCCACGGGGAGCCGTCCTGTTCCTCATCCTCATATCAGACATTGTATCAATCGCATCTGCTAGAAAAATGACAGGATGGATAATGAGAACCTTCAAAACTAGGGATACCAAGCCCATGATGACAGTCTTCAGGTCGCTTGTTCTATCTAGGCTGGAATATTGCTGCACACTAACAGCATCTTTCAAGGCAGGTGAAATTGCTGATCTAGAAAATGTACAGAGAACCTTCACGGCAGTGCAATAAAACACCTGAGTCACTGGGAACGCTTAAAGTTCCTCAACCTGTACTCCCTGGAACGCAGGCGGGAAAGTTACACGATTATATACACTTGGAAAATCGTAGAGGGACTAGTACCAAATCTGCTCACGGAAATAACTCCCTATGAAAGCAAAAGACTCGGCAGACGATGCAACATCCCCCTAATGAAAAGCAGGGGTGTCACTAGCACGTTAAGAGACAACACAATAAGTGTCAGGAACTCAAGACTGTTCAACTGCCTCCCAGCATACATAAGAGGGATTATGAATAGATCCCTGGCTGTCTTCACGAAGGCTTTGGACAGGTACCTAAAGTCAGTACCTGATCAGCTGGGCTGTGGTTTGTACATCAATTTGTGTGGCCAACAGTAACAGCCTGGTTGATCAGGCCCTGATCCAACATGAGGCCTGGTCACAGACCTGGCCGCGGGGGCGTTGACCCCCAGAATCCTCTCCAGGTATACTCTAGGTATCGACTTCCTTTCTCGTCTCTGATCTGAAATTATATTTATGTTTAGACTTGTTATCCTCTACACTGTAAAGAATGTTATACTCTACACTGTAAAGAATATTGTCCTCTACACTGTAAAGAATGTTATACTCTACACTGTAAAGAATATTGTCCTCTACACTGTAAAGAATGTTATACTCTACACTGTAAAGAATATTGTCCTCTACACTGTAAAGAATGTTATACTCTACACTGTAAAGAATATTGTCCTCTACACTGTAAAGAATATTATCCTCTACACTGTAAAGAATGTTATACTCTACACTGTAAAGAATGTTATCCTCTACACTGTAAAGAATGTTATACTCTACACTGTAAAGAATGTTATACTCTACACTGTAAAGAATATTATCCTCTACACTGTAAAGAATATTATACTCTACACTGTAAAGAATGTTATACTCTACACTGTAAAGAATATTGTCCTCTACACTGTAAAGAATGTTATACTCTACACTGTAAAGAATGTTATACTCTACACTGTAAAGAATATTGTCCTCTACACTGTAAAGAATATTATCCTCTACACTGTAAAGAATGTTATACTCTACACTGTAAAGAATGTTATCCTCTACACTGTAAAGAATGTTATACTCTACACTGTAAAGAATATTGTCCTCTACACTGTAAAGAATATTGTCCTCTACACTGTAAAGAATGTTATACTCTACACTGTAAAGAATGTTATACTCTACACTGTAAAGAATATTATACTCTACACTGTAAAGAATGTTATACTCTACACTGTAAAGAATATTATACTCTACACTGTAAAGAATGTTATACTCTACACTGTAAAGAATGTTATACTCTACACTGTAAAGAATATTATACTCTACACTGTAAAGAATGTTATCCTCTACACTGTAAAGAATGTTATACTCTACACTGTAAAGAATATTATACTCTACACTGTAAAGAATGTTATACTCTACACTGTAAAGAATGTTATACTCTACACTGTAAAGAATGTTATCCTCTACACTGTAAAGAATGTTATACTCTACACTGTAAAGAATATTGTCCTCTACACTGTAAAGAATGTTATACTCTACACTGTAAAGAATGTTATCCTCTACACTGTAAAGAATGTTATCCTCTACACTGTAAAGAATGTTATACTCTACACTGTAAAGAATGTTATACTCTACACTGTAAAGAATGTTATCCTCTACACTATAAAGAATGTTGTCCTCTACACTATAAAGAATATTGTCCTCTACACTATAAAGAATGTTGTCCTCTACACTATAAAGAATGTTGTCCTCTACACTGTAAAGAATGTTGTCCTCTACACTATAAAGAATGTTGTCCTCTACACTATAAAGAATATTGTCCTCTACACTATAAAGAATGTTGTCCTCTACACTATAAAGAATGTTGTCCTCTACACTATAAAGAATGTTGTCCTCTACACTATAAAGAATGTTGTCCTCTACACTATAAAGAATATTGTCCTCTACACTATAAAGAATGTTGTCCTCTACACTGTAAAGAATGTTGTCCTCTACACTATAAAGAATATTGTCCTCTACACTGTAAAGAATGTTATACTCTACACTATAAAGAATATTATCCTCTACACTGTAAAGAATGTTATACTCTACACTGTAAAGAATGTTATACTCTACACTGTAAAGAATGTTATACTCTACACTGTAAAGAATGTTATACTCTACACTGTAAAGAATGTTGTCCTCTACACTATAAAGAATATTGTCCTCTACACTATAAAGAATGTTATACTCTACACTGTAAAGAATATTGTCCTCTACACTATAAAGAATGTTATACTCTACACTGTAAAGAATGTTGTCCTCTACACTATAAAGAATGTTATACTCTACACTGTAAAGAATGTTGTCCTCTACACTATAAAGAATGTTATACTCTACACTGTAAAGAATATTGTCCTCTACACTATAAAGAATGTTATACTCTACACTGTAAAGAATGTTGTCCTCTACACTATAAAGAATGTTATCCTCTACACTGTAAAGAATGTTGTCCTCTACACTGTAAAGAATGTTGTCCTCTACACTATAAAGAATGTTGTCCTCTACACTATAAAGAATATTGTCCTCTACACTGTAAAGAATGTTATACTCTACACTGTAAAGAATGTTGTCCTCTACACTATAAAGAATGTTGTCCTCTACACTATAAAGAATATTGTCCTCTACACTATAAAGAATATTGTCCTCTACACTGTAAAGAATATTGTCCTCTACACTATAAAGAATATTGTCCTCTACACTATAAAGAATGTTGTCCTCTACACTGTAAAGAATGTTGTCCTCTACACTATAAAGAATGTTGTCCTCTACACTATAAAGAATGTTGTCCTCTACACTATAAAGAATGTTGTCCTCTACACTATAAAGAATATTGTCCTCTACACTATAAAGAATGTTGTCCTCTACACTATAAAGAATATTGTCCTCTACACTATAAAGAATGTTGTCCTCTACACTATAAAGAATGTTGTCCTCTACACTATAAAGAATGTTGTCCTCTACACTGTAAAGAATATTGTCCTCTACACTATAAAGAATATTGTCCTCTACACTATAAAGAATATTGTCCTCTACACTATAAAGAATATTGTCCTCTACACTATAAAGAATATTGTCCTCTACACTATAAAGAATATTGTCCTCTACACTATAAAGAATATTGTCCTCTACACTATAAAGAATATTGTCCTCTACACTATAAAGAATATTGTCCTCTACACTATAAAGAATATTGTCCTCTACACTATAAAGAATATTGTCCTCTACACTATAAAGAATATTGTCCTCTACACTATAAAGAATATTGTCCTCTACACTATAAAGAATATTGTCCTCTACACTATAAATAATGAACAATTTATTTTGTTTTTCACTGGTTTGTTTCTTCTTTTTTACTTTCATAAATTTTTGTTTCCATTCCTCGGTACACCATCCACAGTCACAACTCTGCAACCTTCACAACAAGTAAGCAGAAACATAATTCTTCCTCTAAGCTATGATAGGTTATCTTCATTCCTTGTTGTGTCTGTAACTCGCTGGGAATGATGTCACAGGATGTAACGTACTCGGTGTAAATGAACGTTGTAACATCATGGACATTAATTAAAACGTTTTTAAAATGGCTATAATCCTTTTTGCTGGACCAAATCTGATTGCTTCCAGTTCCCCAGGTACTAGATCACCCTTGTAACGTTAGCACATCCCATTTAAATTGTTGCTAAGATAAGCACATCTAATAACTCTTGGTGGTGTGCAGGTGTGGCTGCTGTATCAGCTTCCAGGACCTCGAGGATTTCCGGTGCTGGGTAACGCACTGTACCTCAATGTGGATCCTCCAGGTAAGATACTCTCAGAGAAATGCTCTCTTTCCTAAGTTCCTTCTTTGACTTAACTACCATTATTATCATTCTATCGCCTGACTGAATTTGAAGAAAATATATAACAATACAGTAGACCCCCGCATAACGATTACCTCCGAATGTGACCAATTATGTAAGTGTATTTATGTAAGTGCGTTTGTATGTGTATGTTTGGGGGTCTGAAATGGACTAATCTACTTCACAATATTCCTTATGGGAACAAATTCGGTCAGTACTGGCACCTGAACATACTTCTGGAGTGAAAAAATATCGTTAACCGGGGGTCCACTGTAATTGGATATTTTCCTGAACTTGAAGAGATCTCTAGTTTGTTTCATGAGGAAAAAATATATTTTATACTCAAACGAGGAGCAAAATAGTTGTTATCTTAGGGAATTTATATTTACGAATTATAAATATCTGAGGGAAATATATGTTGTGTCTGGCAGAACTGTTCCAGAGACTTCTGAAAGTGGCTGAGAGTGGGGAAGTTGCCAGGTTCTGGACCATGTACACTCCTTACTGTTTAATTAGCAGTGCCACAGCTGTGGAGGTAAGTGAAGCGACACTTAATTAACTTTGATAACAGAAAACAGGTTGATCAAGGTCCCAACTACATGTTTTAAATTTCCAGTTGTTACAACTATTTTTTTTTCAGTTTTCATAATGTTTTTAAAGGTTCAAATTAACAGTGTTATGACTGTTGGATAATTTTGTTATATATTTAATAAAACTGGAAATTATTATGACTTATTATCATAATTGATTTTCGATTATGTCTTCATCACATTACTCAAGAAATCGTAATGACACGATTGCAAATAAACCATACCCCGGCCGGGATTGAACCCGCGGTCATAGAGTCTCAAACTCCAGCCCGTCGCGTTAGCCACTAGACCAGCTAGCCACAATAAGATTCATCCAACTAGGTATATTTCTACACCATAGGAAGGTTAGCACAGGCACCACTGTGACCACAAATGCAAGTTTTTACAGACGAATCTCCAGCTAGCGTGGCCGTGACGAACTCTAGCTCAAGTACCTTCACTGCCGTCAACATGACTCAAGAAATCGTAATGACACGATTGCAAACACCTAGTTGGATGAATCTTATTGTGGCTAGCTGGTCTAGTGGCTAACGCGACGGGCTGGAGTTTTGAGACTCTCTGACCGCGGGTTCAATCCCGGCCGGGGGTATGGTTTTTTTTCATCACATTAATAAATAAGCAGATAAATTCA